AAAAAAAAAAAAGAATGCAGGTGGGGAGTAAAAAAGGAGTCAGAGAGGTAGGCAAAGGCAGTGTCATGGAAGAGTCACATTGGGGAGATTGGATTTTATCCTGAGGGAAATAGGGAGCCAATGAGGAACTTATACTGAAAGAGTGACAGAAACAGACCCGTATTTTGGAAAATATCTGCACAGCAGATGTGAGGAGGATGGGCTGGTAGTGGAGGGAAGAGGCTGGCTAGTTCAGAGGAGCAACAAGGACTGAGCTGGAGCAGTGGTTGCAGGGGTGGAGCAGAAGAGAAGGAGCTGAGAAGTACTCAGGCGAGATCCAGTGGTTGGATCGGGAAGAGTGAAGAACCAGGGATGATGCCCCCGGGGGTAGGGTGGAGAGCGATCCCTGTCTTGAGTTAGTAACATAGAAAGAGGAAGGACAAGGGCGTATTTGTTACAGACCAAAGGAGTCTGGGGTGCCGGGGTGGGGGTAGGGGGAGATCACTAGATACACGAATCTGTGGCTTGCTGGAGAGGCCTAGGCAGGAGTGGGTATGCAAGTGTCTCAGCAGGGAAATGCTGAGGCCAGGAGGATGAGGGTAGTCAAGGAGTGAGTGAGGTGGGCAGCAGTGGCAGAGGATAGGGTCCCAGGGAGCCAGACCCTGGGCAACACACTATCTTCATGCCCTCCCTGGTGACCATCTATCAGCCTGCAGCAATCCAGCTTCCATCTACCTACTGACCTGACTCTACTCTTCCTGGGGCCACCCTGACCCTCTTCTTGGCAAGCCATACCGCTGTGCCTAGCTTGCCAGAGCTCTCCCTGCATCTGACATTGCTGGGCACACTTGCCTTTCCCAGCCCCTCTCCTCAGAGAAGTCACTCTCTGGCAGACCTTTCAGCCTTTAGTGGACACTCTGTGTTAGGCTCTCTTGCTGCCCACAGTGCCCTTCCACAGGTCCACCTGACAAACACTGATTCACCCCAGTTATCCCAAATGCTTCCTCCTGCAGGGAGCCTTCCCTGACCCCTCATTCCTTCTATTCCCTCAGGAGCAGTTTACTGTGGCTCCTTCTCCGTTTCCAAAGCACTCTGCACACATTTCTGTGAATGTACCTATTCATTTTTGTACATTGCTTAGCAGCATCTGCTACAAATGCCTGCCGAGTGGGTGAGCACAGAAAAGCACCTATAGAGACAGGTGCAAAGGCACGGACGTCCACACAGCAGATGCACACACATAGATTCCCTTATAGACACAGGCACACCCTGTGGGCCCACACTTGGAGTCAGGTAGACACATAGGCACACACAGGTGCACACCACACAGGCAGCCCATGCAGACAAACAGATGCACACACGGCACCAAAGACACACACTTGAACATATACTGCCAGCTTCTGGGCTCATGCAGGCACTCATTCACACTTGGGCACATGTGCCCCCCTAGGTCCCATGTCCTCTGTACCGTCTCTGGCCGCTTCTTGTCACTGAGCTCACTCCGGTCAAAGCACTGCCCCATGATGGGATTCTTTGAGCTGCACATGGTCTGTGTGAGCAGAACAGGAGTCAGTGTGGGAGCTGGGGACAGGCAGGGCAGAATAGAGCAGATGTTCCTTCATACAGCAGAACATTTTCTTGGTCCCCATCCTGACTCCCCTTGCCCTCATGATGTCCTCCTCACCTCCTTCAGGTTCCGGAAGAGAAGGTCATTATTTTTATCCAGAAACCCTGGGAGGGGACAGCAGATGTGAGGTGAGGGAAAGTTTTCCCTTTCAGGCCCTGTGGGGACCCAGTCCTAGGATCCTCACCAGTCACGCTGTAGGTCACCTCCCCAGCGTAGTGCAGAAGGCGGAACTCCCCTCGGCCCAGAGATTTCCTAGTTTGCTGATCAGCCAGCTTGTGCCTGGGGGTGATGAGAAGAGGAAGCTACAGATTGCTGACCTGAACTGTGCCTCCTGCTTCTGCAGAAACCTCATGAGCAGGAACCAGCATGCCCAGGGCCATGATATAACCTGCCTGCCATGTAGCAGGCAAGGTAGGGCCAGCAACCCCCTGCACAGAGAACACTGAGGCTCAGGGGTCGATGGCCACCCTCAGTCTATGGTGGCCCACTGAGCTACAGGTGCCACCCCTGGAATAGTTCTTAAAAGTACAGTAGATGAGGGTGGCGCCTATGGCTCAGTGGGTAGGGTGCCAGCCCCATATACAGAGGGTGGTGGGTTCAAACCCAGCACTGGCCAAACTGCAACAAAAAAATAGCCGGGCATTGTGGTGAGCACCTATAGTCCCAGCTACTTGGGAGGCTGAGGCAATAGAATCACCTAAGCCCAGGAGTTGGAGGTTGCTGTGAGCTGTGTAATACTGCCACAGCATTCTACCTAGGGCAATAGAGTAAGACTCTGTCTCTACATAAAAAAAAAAAAAAAGAGTAGCAGATAAGAGGACAGCGCCTATGGCTCAGTGGGTAGGGCGCTGGCCCCATATACTGAGGGTGGCAGGTTTGAACTCGACCCTGGCCAAACTGCAACAAAAAAATAGTCAGGTGTTGTGGCAGGTGCCTGTAGTCCCAGCTACTTGGGAGGTTGAGGCAGGAGAATCGCCTAAGCCCAAGAGTTGGAGGTTGCTGTGAGCCCACAACACTCTACTGAGGGCTACAAAGTACGACTCTGTCTCTTAAAAAAGAAAAAAAACAACTATTCCAAGCCAACCTGAGCAAGAGCAAGACCCCCATCTCTACTAAAAAATAGAAAAACTAGCTGGACGTGGTGGCAGATACCTGTATTCCTAGCTATTTGGGAGGCTGAGGCAAGAGGATCGCTTGAGCCCAAGAGTTTTGAGGTTGCTATAAACTATGACACCATGGAACTCTACTCAGGGCAACAAAGTGAGACTCTGTTTCCAAAACTATTCCAAGCATCTAATCAGAGATACAAAGATTTAAGGCATAGAGATGTCCCTGGCAGCCTTGTTAAACCTGGGGGCTGGCCAGAGGCTCCCAAAGGCTGGGTGAGAGCCATTGGAGGAAGTGTTTTGAGGAAAATTTTCTGTTTCATGATACAGGAAAATACTCCGGATATAGCATTATCCTAAGTCTTATACACAATAAGTTCTTGACTCTGGGAAAAAAAAATGTATAGAAAAAGGCAGGAAGGAAATGCCTTACATTGTTAATAGTGATGACCTCTGTAGACAGGATTACAGTGGCTTTTGCATACATTCCAATTTTTCTCTGATGAGCAATATCAGTTTTGTAATCAGAAACAAGTTTTTAATATACTAATAAGCAAAAAATCCTCAGGGCTTTGGCATTTGACAACCCTGGGACTGAGCCCTAGCTTTGCAACCCAGATGTCAGATGAGTTTGGGCAAATCCCTTCACCTCTTTGAGCCTAAGTCAGATGGAGAAAACACCAAGAACACCTCCTTACAGGGTCACTGCAGGCTAAGAGATGATGAGCACAAAATCTGCAGGACAGAGGTGCTTACTTCTACCTCTCCCTACTTTAGGGGATTCCATAAGTAAAAAGCAATTTCCAAATAAGGAAGCTATAATATCTCAGCAAGTTTCATTTTCCAAAAATAATAAGGAAGCCATGCTACTAGCTTCTTGCTTTCTGGATGCACAAGAGCTCTGCCAAGTTAGCACCTCCCCCAATCATCTCCTTGTGACTGGTGTTTTGTGACTGTGGAGGTACTTCACCTTCCACAGCCTCTGCCCCAAGTGAGCCCCTACCCTGAGCAGCCCCATAGCCCCACTCACGTCAGAAAGTGTGGATGGTGCTTGATTGTGTCCTCTAGCTTCTCCAGGAAGGTCAGGTCGGTAGCCTCCCCAGGGCGCAGACACTCCTCATCCTGGGGGTGTGGCATGGGGGAGGGATGTATGGGGAAGCGGCCAGACATAGAGAAAATTGGGGCACCATGCAGGGAGATGCAGGGGCTGGGGGAGAACAGAGGAAGCCTCCCACAGAGAGCTTCCAGACTGGCCAGCACCTCAACTCACTGTCCACACACAACCCTGCCCTGTCCCTGCTCATCCCCAATCTCTAACCCTCTATTCACCAGTCTGGAGAGTGAGGGGATGAGAGGTTGTTCTCCCAGCCAGCACCCAGCCCAGGACCTTGGAAGAGCGGAGGACTCACCAAAATGGAGATGATGCCCTTGAACTTCTCCTCTACCAGATCACAGATGATCTTGTTGTTGAAATACTGGACTGGCTCCCACTGACAGGGAAAAGAAAGGGGAAGCCATTAGGGTGGGGTCCTAGCACTCTCTCCCATCAGGCCCCAGTGCCTGGGCTCTCCATGGTACGTGGGGGGCACCCGCAAGTTTGCACACACCGCGATGCCCTCTGCCTCATATTCCTCCTGCTCTGACTTGAGTGTGAGCTCGATGAAGAGCTGCTGCAGCTTCTCGTTGCAGTAATTGATGCAGAATTGTTCAAAGCTGTGTAGGAAAGAGAAGAGCCCATGGTAGTTCAAGGGGAACAAAGGAGCAGGAGAGGGGAAGGACAGGACAAGACCCCTGAAAAGATAAGGTAGGAACAGAGAGCAGGATCTAGGCTGGTTGGGGGAGCTATTGGGCAGGAATGATTGAAGCTGGAGGACAGAGGCGAAGGACCAGGGCAGAGGAATAGGAGGAGACAGGCAGCAGGTAAGGGTGGCACTGACCTGTTATGCTGAAACACTTCAAATCCATAAATGTCCAGGAGCCCAAGAACTGTGGTGCTTCGCCAGCTAGGGCTCTCAACATCCTAGGGCCAGCCAGGCAATCGAAAGCATGGGTCCCACTGTTTGCCACCTCCCCAGCTCCAGCCCCAGGCCTCCCTGGACCACCCTCCCTGCCTGTTTTGGAAGTAGCATGGACCAAGCCTGACCTTGGAAGCCAGTGACCTGTTGATTTTCCCGACCAGCCAGGTAAAAGTGCGACTGTATACAGCCTTGGAAAGAGCATCCCGTGCATATGCAGCCTGCTCCAGGTTCAGTGGGCTCAGGAGCTGTCGGCATAGGATGAGACACAGGAGGAATGCTACAGACAGTTCTGCATCTTACCTCCCCTTCTGGCTCAGGCAGAAGACCAGGAAGCTGTGACCACCCTGCCCTCCCAGCTGCAGTGAGCCCAGAGGTTGGGTGATGGTGGTGGTAGAGGGATGCCCAGGGAGCATGGAGAGCTACATGAGAGAAGCTGGTACAGGGACAAGAGGCTTCATTTCTGAGATGGGAGTCTGGTTCCAGCCTGACTCTGTCACTCTTCCTATGAGACTTTGGCCAGCTTGCTGTGCCTCTCTGAGCCCCCCAGGGAAGGGGGAATGATGTGAATGGGGGCTACCTTGAAACCTGTGGGGCCCTATCAGCTGGGGAGGCAAAGGCTTGGCCTCACCTCTTCACCCTTGGCGATGATCTTTCTGTGTGTCAGGGCTTCCCGCAACGTCGAGCCTTCTACTCCAAGAAGCTGTGAAGGGTGGGGTGTAGGTGTCATGAGGGTGTACCTCACTTGCCCCTGCCACCCTGTCCCCTACCCTCCACCCATCCATCTCACTCACCCTCGTCAGGTACTTGAGCTGGTTCTCAGTGGTGACCTGGGCATTGCTCTCCTCATCAGCAGCAAAGTGGATGTTGCCCAAGTGTAGGACACTAGCCACAACGCTCAGTAGGTCCTGGGGGAGCACAGAGCCCCATGAGATGAATGGTGTGATAAAGCAGGACGCAGGTGGTGAAGTGTTTGAGAGGAGGAGGAAGCCAGAGGTGAACTGCTTTTCTTTTTTTGTTGTTTGTATTTGAGACAGTCTCACTTTGTTGCACTTGGTAGAGCATCGTGGCTTCACAGCTCATAGCAACCTCAAACTCTTGGGCTTAAGTGATTCTCCTGCCTCTGCCTCAGCCTCCCGAGTAGCTAGGACTATAGGCGCCCATCACAATGCTCAGCTTTTTAGAGACAGGGTCTTGCTGTGGCTCAGTCTCATTTTGAACACATGAGTTCAGGCAATCTCCCCGCCTAGGCCTTTCTGACTGCTAGGATTATAGGCATGAGCCACTGTGCCTGGCTGTGAAATGGATTTTAAAAGTAAAAGGAGGGCTGGGTGCAGTGGCTCAAAGTAAGACTCTTTCTCAAAAAAAAAAAAAAAAAGGAGACCTTTGGATAGGAGGAAAGGGGAAAAAGGAGGGTCCCCAGAAGAGGCCTCACCTCTACTTCGTCCTCAGTGAAGTCAATGACTGTTAGAGCCTTCCTGACAACCTTCCAGTCACTCTTGTCATTGATGGAGGAGACTTTGGCACACTGTCCCTGGAGGAAGGGCACACCTGGGTTGCCAGCCCTGGCACCAGGCCTCCTGGGTGGCACCTGCCCTGCCAGCCACTTACCTTCACCAGGTACAGGTAGCTCTGGGGGTTCCGTTCCAAGCCAAGCCTACGCAGTGTCTCTTCCTCACCCCCCTCCAGAAGCTGGTAGAAGACATGGAAGTTCCGCTCCCCGTGATTCTGATGCACCACTCGAGACTTCTCCAAGAGGTAACTGAGGATGTGGCCACCCACGGGGGCACCCTATGGGCAGGGCAGGGCAGGGCACGGGGCTGGTCAGGGCTGGGGAATAGAGCTCATCTCCCCCTTTCTCCTCTGCTCTCCTAGGCTTTAGGATCAGCCATACTTGGGCTCTAATTCCACCCTTCCACTAGCTGTGGGAGTTAGGCATGGCACCCCTTTGGCCTCAGTTTCTTCATCTAAGATAGGGAGAGATTCAATTCCTCTTTGGCATCTCCACCTGGGTGCCTGACAGACATCTCAATTCAACAGCTCTTGTTCGTGTCTTCCTATCTTGGCCAGTGTAACCACATCCTTTTAGTTGTTCAGACCAGGAAGCTGGCAATTCTCCTGGAGCCTCTTTTTCTTCCATACCCCTACCCAATCAGCCAGCCAATCCTGCTGCCTTAACTTTCCAAACATCCAGAATCCAATTGCTACCACCAGACAGGTCTGAGCCCCTGTCATGTGTTACCTGCATTACTATATCAGCCTCCTAACCAGTTTCCCTGCTTGGCCTGGTTCCCCTATCATCTATTCCCAACAAAGTAGCCAGAGTGATCTTTTTATGAGAAAAGTCATATCACAACACTCCCCTTCTACTCAAAGTTTAAAAAAAAAAAAAAGGAAATTTTTGCAAAGATACAAAAGGGAATGCCCTATCTGGCCTCACCTCCTATTCCTCAGTCCTTGCTCTTTTCTCTGGCCATGTGGCCTCCTTTCTGTTCCTGAACACATCAAGCACCCTCCCTCCCCAGGATGTTTGCACTGGCTATTCCCACGGCCTAGACTCTCCCAGGGGTATGTGCTCAGCTTGCTCCTCTGTCTCCCTCAAGCCTTTACAATGGCTTGAAATGCCACTTCTCAGTGAGGCCTACCCCATCTGCCTTATTTAATTGCCTCCCCCTAGCCCTTACCTCATTTTACTTTCTGCCATGGCCCTAAATGATTATTTTTCTGCTTATCATCTATCACTTTGGGAAACAGGACATTTGTCTGCTTCCCTCTTGTGCTACCAGCACCTGGAGAAGCACCTGGCACACGGCAGGTTCTTGACACATACTCAGCCTACTGCATGGGAACACCCTTCCCCCACCCTGACACAACCACAAGTACCTTGAAGTCAAACTGCACGTCCATGTACTTCCCAAACCTGCTGGAGTTATCATTCCGGAGCGTCTTGGCATTTCCAAAGGCCTAGAGGTGTACAGGGGTATGAGGGATACCTGGCATTCTCTCCTTGACCCTGCCTCCCCCCAGATGCTGCTGTCTGCCCCCTCACCTCCAACACTGGGTTGCTCTGCAGTAGCCGGTCCCGCACAGCACCTCCCCGCTCAGGGGCTGGGCAGGTCTCTGCATAGAACTGCAGCAGGCGCTTGGTGGCCTCCGTCTTGCCTGCTCCACTCTCTCCAGAGATCATCACTGCCTGGTCCCGGCGCTCCGTGCGCAATGCTCGGTACACAGTGTCAGCCACTGCGAACCTGGGTAGAGGCTCATCAGTGAGTTGAGGGGTGGGGAGGCCAAGTGGTTGCAGGTGGCAAAGTCTCACAGATAGGACTGGTTGAAGTTACTTTGTGGGTGGGAGTTCGGGATGGGGACCCCAGTGGGTGTGGATTACAGTTCAAGAGGGGGTCATGCTCAGATGAAGGACTGAAAAGGTCACTCACAGGTGCAGATGTTGGAGGTCACTTAGGTGGAGGCTGGGATCACTCACGAGTAGGGTTGGAAAGTCTTATAGGTGAGGGTCAGGAGTCATGAATGTTGGGGACCATGCCCATGTACAATTGGGGAATAAGTCATGGGTATGAGAAGATGGGAGGAACTGAGGGTCCCACCCAGATGGAATTGAGAGAGTCATTTCCAGTGGAGACTGAGATCACTAGAGTAACAGATTGTGGGATTCCTCACAGATGTGAATAGTAAGTAACTCACCCACATGGGAGGTCAGGGGTCATGCTAGAGTGAGGGTCAGGTGGGGCCATCTCAGATGGAGATAGAGAAGTCACTCACAGGTGGGGTGGCACTTTGTAGAAGCTGACACCACGGTAACGCTCCATATGCTGCCGGCTATAAATCTGTAGGTCTCGATAGGGGTTGACGGAGACCAGGACGGGGCCAATGTAGGTCTAGGGGTTGGGAGAAGAGGGTCAGAAGTTTGTCTCAGAAGGCTTCTATTACCTCAGAGTTCTCCCCAGCCCCAGGTCTGTGACCCCCAGGACCCCTACCCATCTCCCCATTAGGCCTCACGTAAATGAGGTTCTCCCGGAACCGCCGCCGCAGGTTCTCAATGAAGGCTGCCTCACTGGTGAAGTTCTCCAGCAGCACGAAGTCCTGTACTCCCACCCGGTCACGGGCGGTCAGTGCACTCTCCATGGTTACCCGCACCCCGTCACTGCCCAGGGCCTGCAGAGAATGAGCCATGAAAAAGGGTTAGAGCCATCAGGGTAGAATAAGGCTACTAGTCTTCTTCCTCCTCACACCTGTAGGACTAGAAGTAGGGGCACATGGCATGGGGCCTGGACACAAGACATGGAACACGCCGGGCACGGTGGCTCACACCTGTAATCCCAGCACTTGGGAGGCCGAGGTGGGTGGATTGCCTGAGCTCATGGGTTCCAGCCTGAGCAAGAGAGAGGCCTCATCTCTAAAAAATAGCCAGATGTTGTGGCGGGCACCAGTAGTCCCAGCTACTTGGGAGGCTGAAGCAAGAGAATCACTTAAGCCCAAGAGTTTGAGGTTGCTGTGAGCTAAGATGCTATGGCACTCTACCGAGGGCGACAAAATGAAACTCTGTCTCAAAAAAAAAAAGACATGTAACATGCCATATGCAGAGACCTGGGTCTTAGTATGCTTGCACATGGACACTGAGGACACAGGTACACAGAATAGAGATCACATAAGACACATGGGACCTGGACACAAGACTCTGGAGCTTATAGGACCCAGAGGACATGAGGCACAGCTGTAGAATCCAGAGAGGCACTTGTTTTGTGTAGAGAAAGGGTGTCAGGAGAAGGAACACCTTGAAATAGCAGAAAGAATGCTCTGTTGACCTTGGACAAATCCCCTCCTCTCTCTCTCTGTTGCTTCCTCCTCCAGGAGGAGGAGTTGAGTTAGACCAGGTGATCTCAGGTCTCTTAGCTCTGGAGCTCTGTGCCACGTGTGACAGGTGCTTTGGAGGGCAAATTCTGCAGACAGGGTGGGGCCAGCTGTCCCACCCCTACCCACCAAAATCTCCAAGTTTAGAGTATTTAGCAGCAAGGAAGAGGCCACCCCCAGACTACAGAACAGGGATACCTTCAAAGGACCTCCCACCCCAGCTGGGCTCAACACCCATTCAGAAGGGGGTGCTCTTCCTCCCAGTAGTTGGGGCCACTCCCTTGCCTCCAGCTGCTGGGCTCCCCAGACACCTCCTCCCCTGAGAGTCCAGAGAAGCCTCCAGGGCTGGGGGTTTTACTTCAGAAAGCCCAGCTGCCTCTAGTTCTGGAAGGTTCGGCAGGGCCCTCACTCTGCGCTCAAAGCTGAGATTCCCTGCTCCAAAAGGGTCTGGGGGCTCTAGGAAATTGACGCTAAGAATGTCAAGGGTCAGAGAGGAGCAAAGTGGTGGTGGGGTGTGGATCTCAAAGAGGCCACCAGGAATCCTCTGATCACAGATGGCTCAGATCTCTGGTCTGGGGCACCCCTCAGAGCTGGGGGCCTGCCTATCCCAGGCTTTTCTCTTACCGCCCCCCAATCCCGCCCCAAAGCTCTCGCCAAATCTTGCCGGAGTTCCTGCCTCCTATGCCCTTGGGTGAGGGGTCTGGTGTTCTCAGCAGTCTCCAGGAGCTAATCGCCCACCACTGGGTCTGAGCGTCCCGCGGCCCTCCCCGCTTCAGCGTCCTCCCCCTGCAACTTTCCGGGACGTTTTTCCACCCGAAATTCCTGGGCCGCGCCCGCTTTCTGGCCAGGCCAAGGCGACGCCGCGAGGCAGGGAGGGACCCCTGGAACCCCCCGTCCTGCCCGCCACCCTGGCTTACCGATGCCCGATAGCGCATCCTGCCCGGCCGGCCCGGCGACCCGCTGCCCGCGCTTTCAGTTCGCGGCTCGGCTGTGGCGGCGGCGTCAGCGAGGGAGGGGCCGGCCCTTCCCCCGCACCGCCTCCTCCGCAGGCCCCAGAGGCGCGGGACTCCCCGCTCTAGCTCAGAGCCAGGACTCTGGGTCCCTCTCCAGTTAGTGGGGGCAGGGTAGGGGCTAAGGGGCCCCTCGGGCAGGAGGCGAGCGGGGGCGGGGCACCCTTACTGGCGAGGCTCCGCTTGAGTCAGGTTTTCCAGGAGGGACGTCGTCGGTTCTAGGGTGGAGCCCGGAACACGCGCGGCCTCCGCGTCTATACAGACCCGGAACCCACTTCCGGGCTTGTGTCTACACTGCGGGCCAGGCCAGGCGCGGGACAGGGGCTGAGCCTGGTGGATCCCAGAGGAAGCAGGATTTCCCTCCCCCCCCCCACAACCTCGAGTCCCGGGAAAGTTAAAAATAGAACGAAATGTCCAAATACGGCCGGCGCGCCAGGGCTGGCGGGCGGAGCCTGGTTGCGGGACACTGTACATCCTTATACACACTGTAAGGGCCCTGAGACTTTAAACCCCAAGAAAATCTCTTTAGGTTCCCTCGTCAGCACGGAGCGCGAGCCCTAGGAACAGAGACAGCCACAGGGTGTCCTTGCCCAGAGTATCTGGAGATCTCGTTTTCCCATCTGGAAATTCGCGTATAACCTACGGCATATGGGTTCAGCGCGCTTCTCCTTCGTCCCGGACCCCCCACTCGGGCCTTCGTGCCCCAGGGCCGCCTCTCCTCTCTCCCTCTGGAGGGCGCCTTCCTCTCCTGTCTCCCTCCACACCCTTTGCCCTCCCTCTTCCCAAACCCGACTCCAGCTGCCCCACCTTCGCTGGGCTTCATGGGGGCACCAGCCCTCCTTGGCCCTGGGGGCGAACTCTAGCTAACACCCCACTTGATGAGGATAGCGATGTCTACTGCTTGGAAAAACCTTGTCTTTTTCTTACTAGCATGACTGAGCAAGTCATTTAACTTTTTCGAGTCTGTCCTTGATCTTTAAAATGAGGCTGATATCTACATAAAAGTGATGTGTAACTGAAGATAACGCGCTAAGGAGCCTCTCAGGCGCTCTGTAAACACCATTGCCCTCTCCCCCTCTGTTCTCTCCGCCGGACACTCATTCCACACGTGCCTGGAGGCAGATCTAAGAGTCAGGCCCAGAGTCAGGCGGGTCACACCACTTATCTAGTGGGGAAAGCCCCTCAGACAGGCGCGTCTGCCAGTTACAAGAGCTTTAAGCACTTTACCTGTCACTCATTGGACGGATAAAGGGGCGAGAGGCATACAAGGGTGGACAGTCTCTTGAGCTAAGAGGTAAAAGGCAGGGCTGAGACCCAAGTCCCAGGGCCTCGGACCTGGGCTCCCTGGGGAAGGGGTGAGGCCGTGGCAGGTGCGGGCTGCATCCTCCCGGGGAAGGCTCATTATTTCAAGAACAGCCCGGCTGGAACCGCGGCCCAGGAGATCTGGTGGAGGGGGGCGCCAGCTGGGAGATGGGGCCCTCTGGAGTGGGCAAGGGGACAGGGTGCAGAAGGGTGCAGTTGGGAAGTGGGCGGGAGAAAGGGTGTGTTAAACGTCAGCTGCAGAAGCATGTTCACGGGGGAAGAGGGCGCCCTCTGCTGTGCCTCCAGGCTTAAAATCCAGGATGGACTCCGAAGGAAATCCGCCTTACAAAATTCGGGGCAGAGGGTCCACAGAACCCCCACTAGAAGCACTGCTTTCTCTCCACCCCCTGCGAAGGAGGGGCACCCGCTCCGCCTCCAGCCAGTCAGGGGCGGAGGAGAGGGGCTGGAGGGCGGAGCTTCACGGCTGCAGTGTCCGCCCCGCCCCGCCCCGCCCCACCCCACCCGCAGCCGCGTCACGCGGCTGGAATGAGGGGAATCCGCGAGCGCTGGGGTCCGGCCCGCTTCCCCCCCCAATCCCCGAGCTGCGCCGCTGCATTCCCGGGATGCCCGCCGGCGCCCCCGCAGCCACCGCCCGGCGGCGGAAGGAAGGGGCGTCTCCGTCGCCGGTGGGCCCGAGGGCGGGCCACAGTCCCTGGTAGCCCCTGGCCTACTGCGCCTCCCTGGACGGAAGCGCGAGCCCCTAGGCTGGGAACCGAGGGTGTAAAGACACCGTCTAAGGCTGCAGCGCTTGGCGCTGCTAGAGTTCTCTGCGCTTTCTTAGTTACTCCCTTCAGTGCCCCCAAGCCAAGCCAGGAGATCTGTATTATTAATCCATTTTGGAAGGAGAAACTAAGGCTGGGCAGGTGTAGTGACTTGTTCAAGGTCTCAGGACTATTAGTAAGAGTGGGACGGGAACTCGGTAACCCTACTACTCACTACTTTGTCAGGCTACCCTGACTTCCTAGCCTTTCCATATGGTTTTCATACGGTTAACAGGGCCACTCTGCCAGGCTGTGTGAGCTTCCTCAGTGGCCCAGTACAGGCCCTTCGGTGTTGTGTGATTCTGTGTGATATTGGCCTTAAGGGTAGCAGGTAGGGAGTGGGCCATGGCCTCTAGACCGGTCCCCCACCCCCAGAATGGCCCTGGCCTAAAGGCTGACTGCAGGTTAGGGTATAGCTATGGACCCTGAGTGACCCAGAACTTATTTCCCAAGGCCACCTCTGGGTCTCCTCCCACCTGGGAAGGTGTTTACTGGAACCACTGGGGATGGGGCAGCCCAGCAGACCTGGGTCATCTAGCACCCTTCAGCTAGTACAGGGCAGGCGCCTCCAACCCTGACATCTGGAGCAGTTGGAAGCCTCAAATGTTCGAGTATCCTAGGGGGCACAAGAGCTGAAGGGGGTTGCTCTGAGGAACCCTAAACTGAGGCTATAAAATGATTTCCACTGAGGCAGCTTTTCTGCCTCTTGGGGCAACAGGCAACCATAGCCTGTCTCAATGGCAGCGGATCAAGGCCTAAGGTGCCCCACTAAAGACTGTTCCAGGCTTCAGGGAATTGTTATGAGGGGAGATGAGGAGGAGAAGATGGAGGGACTAAGGGTCTTTGTCCTGATTGCTCTCAGGGCCCCCAAACAAGGGATGTACACTCTAGCTCCAGAACCATGGGCCTTTTCTCTACCAGACACCTCTGCCTGAGAGTCTAGCAAAAGTAAACAGAGCCCCTTGCCTCCTAAGCTATTCTCCTGTTCAGTATACTTTATGCAGAGAGGAGGGTGGTGCTTCTAGCTGGTCATCAAGCCTGGCACTAAAAGGCCTGCTCCCCTGCTCCTCACTCTAAGCAGTCATCACTTGCCCAACTTCTCTTCTGCTCTTCCATCACTGCTCTTTCCCTAGACCAAAACAGCAACTTCCCAAGTGGCCTCCTCACCTTCCTTCTGTCAATCCATTTCCCCACAGCCCTTACAAATCAAGTCAATTAACATCTCAGTTTAATAGAATGGAGGTTTATAGGGCATCTTCTATGTGCTAGGACTGTGATTCACACCCACTGCTTCTCATCAGGACTCCTGCAAATAGACTCCTGTGGCCCCCACTGTCCTCAGTTTACCCCACGGCTCCTGCATTCCAGTGTGACTGCACAGGTGGCCCTCTCCTGTCCCCACCCTGGACACACAGCTAGCAGGAGCCTCTTACATCCTGCCACCAGCCACCCAGGGCATGGTTCCCTAAGCTTCTGGGCCTTTTGCACCTGCAACTTCCTTGGTCCAGCACACTTTGCCTCCCCACCTCACTGACTCTTACAGATTCTTAGAGACTCCATTGAGGTATCACCTCCTCCAGAATTCCTTCCTGATTCTCTGGAACACACAGCCTCTCCTTACCCCACCGGCACTAATCACCTATTTCCTTGCCGGCCTTTCCCAGGAGACTGCTCCCTCCAGGCATACAACCAGCTAGGCGCACAGTGGAAACTCAATAACCGCCCCCCCCCTTCGAACGTATGAATGAATGAATGAATCTCAGAGCCTGGGAGTATGAGCCGGAGGCCGGGGCACGCCGAAGTGAATAAGGCTATGGGCCAGCCATTCATCCTCCCATTCATCTCCGAGCCCCTCACCAGTCACATTCACACGCACCGAGGCACGCAGAAGTCACTGGATGGCTGGGCTCTGGGGGCGGAGAACGGGAAGGGGCGGCGCTCAAGCGGTTTCTCCGGAACCCTGAGGCAGAGCAGGACAGCGGGAGGGCCCGGACAGGCGCTCAGGGTACCTGGGTCCCTCAACCCAAGGGCTCTTCTCCGCCCTCACATTACCTACCCTCAAAGGAAATCTAAGTCTCTACCGGGCTGAGTCTGCGCGCCTCCCTTTCCTGGGATTGCTTACTGGTTGGACTGGGTGATCTTCAGCCCAAGCGAATCCAGGCCGGCGACCCCTGCCTCCCTCGTGGTAGCTCCGGGCCCGGCTCGGCGCCCAGCCGCCTGCTCTTCTCTCAACCCGCCGGCCAGCGAAAGCCTCCTGGGGCCACGCGGCCACTGCCCGCCCCGCGCCTATGCCCCACGTACCCACCGGCTCGGCTCTTCGGGCGCGTGGGTGGGGGCCGGGCTGGGCGGTGTGGCGGGCTCGAGAGTCCACGGCCCGGGCAGACACTCCCAGCCCAGGGCCCGCTAGGGGCCGGGCTGCCGCCTGTCGTCATCTCGGGCAGGGCCCAAACCTGGGCGCGCGCGCGCGCGCACCCTCCGGCCCCGCCCCGCCCCGGCCTTAGCCCAGGCCCCCGCCCTGGCGGACCGCGTACGCCAGGACTTGGTGCAGCACAGACCCAACCAGTTCTTGGGACTAGGCGCGTTACACACACAAACACACACGCGCCCGGGTGCACTCTCTCCCGAAGACCGTGTAGTATTGGTGGGTGGGTGCGCCTCATGGAGTTCTGCCTTCTCACAGAAGGCCCTTGTGCATCTCTAGAGCAAACTAGACCTTCCTCTGCTTGCCAGGCAAGGGCATTTCTTCCCCATTTCTAACTACCTGTCTTCCTTCACACACTTCCCACACTCACGTTACTACTTTGAGTCATCGGGCGGTCCCTGTCCCTCGGACCAGAAAGGAAAAGGGTAGGAGTATTAACTTAGCCTGTACTATGCTCCTGGAACTTTACATGCACTAGTCCTTTGACCTCAGAGCAGCCGTCACCGGCTTGTGCCCAGTTCATAGCCCAGCCCACTGAGGTTCAGGGAGTTGGAGAAGGCCTTCCAACCCAGACTCAGCTTTGAATAATCCTGCTTCCAGTGGCCACTTCTTCCATTATCCCTTCTTGTCTAATTTGTTCCTTTTCCCAAGGACCAGAATCCTTCTTCACTACTCACGTCTTTCTACAGGGCTTTGATTGAGAGGGTGCTGCCAGGCCTGGGGGAGATACTGCCACCCTCCCTCCCAGCCCGGAACATCCCAGCTTACAAGCTTGCAGGGCCTGTGGGGGTGAACCACACGGATGATCTCCCCGGTGGGTATCAGTTCCACTTGCAGTGCCATTCCTGTGGAGAGCCAGTGTGCTGAGCACTGGGGCCTGTGTGTAAAGCTGCCTGGCTGCCCAGTGGCTCTGGCCGCTCCCGGAGCCAGGAATCTATGGTCTATCGCTGGGATGGCCACTTGGTTCTGCTTCAACTCCAGCCCCAGGGGATGTGGCTGGTCCAGCTCCTCAGGACACAGCTGGAGCAGTCCAGGTCTGATTGGGAGGCCTCTAGGCTGGGAGGGTTGGGGCAGGAAGAGGAGGGGCGGAGGGATGGAGGAAATGCTTGTTGTCCCAGGTAACCAGAGGAGCTGATACAGCCATCCATGGGGGACTCCAGGTCAAAGGGTAGGAGGCATTTTCCCTTTCCCCCCAACTTTATGACTGGGCCTCTCCTTGCCGCCCACTCTCTGGTATCAGCTACCGCATAGTGACTACTCCCTAAGCCAGAAGGCACATCCTTCCCTTAGCTGAGAGGATCCCTCAATACGCACTGCCTCTCCTGCACATCACCCTAACTTGGCATCCTCTCACGTCCACAAGTGAGCCCCTTGAGTTTTAGAGGCCAGGGCTGCTGACGGCTGATCATGCTGGGCCGAGAGTTGTCAGGAAAAGCAGGACACTGACGAGACCCTGTCCCCCTTTCCTTTAGAGCCTCAAACACTTGGAGGTGGGGGGTAGTTCCTGGGCTCCTTAGGTATGGAGAACCTCTAGCTCTACTTGCTCCTCACATCTCCCCAGGTGCTTCCCCACCCTTAATGTTCCTGTTTTTCTGTTGTTGCTAAATCACAGCTGACACTTTCCTGGCCTAAGACTGAGCCCCCTGGTCTCTAGGCATTCCTTATAGGAAGTGAGGATGGGGAAATCTATGGGGAAAACAGACCTTTCTAGAGGCAGATGCTGGGATGGGAGGGGCTAGAGTCTGATGGGCCTGCCCTAGCAGTGACAGCCCCATGGGCAGGCACCTTCTCCCAAGCACCCTTCCCTTCCCTCCCCATGGCTTCCTCCGCCCAGGAAAGGCCAACAAAGCTTCCTTCCTTCCTCTGGGAAGCACATCTATCCAGAGCAGGCTCATCCCCGACGGCTACACAATGGCCCTTATCAGCCGTGGAGCCAGGCACAGAGACCCAGTGCACACCAAGTCTCACATATTTCCTGTTTCCACCCAGCGAGTTGGGGTGGGCCCAGAGCACCATATCCTGACTGAGGCCAAGAGGACGGAGAGCACTCCCCCTTCCCCTTTCCGCCTCTCATCACTGTTGGGCTCACCCCTCCCAGGCAAGCAGCTACAGGAGGAGGCTGCAGCAGGGGTGCATTAAGGAAGGAGAAAGGTAGAGAAAAAACAGGGACCTCTGGAATCAAGCCCTATGTCTATGTACATCATTTGTATTTTACAGGCAATTAAGACTCTTATGTGGGTGGGTCTAGACCCCATTCCTGTATCCTGTATTTCTAGTCCTGCATGACACTACAGCTGCCCATGTAACGTGAACGGATCACACTTCTTTGAATTTTGGTTTTTCCATTTGCTGAATGAAGGGTGCTGTGTGGCAGCACTCATGATGGTCATGTGTGGGTGAAAGAACAGGTGGGCAAGCAAGGGGGTTCAGAGCTTCCCTAGGTGAGTGACAGGTTATCATGGGGGTAGATTCAGCAGGAAGGATTTAGGGAGAAGTGAGGAAGAGAGAAGACGGTGACATTTTAGACAGCTTAACCTAGGAACAAGACTCAAGATAGGGTGTGAAGGGGCAGCACCTGTGGCTCCGTGGGCAGAGTGCCAGCCCCATATACCGAAGGTGGTGGGTTCAAACCCAGCCCTGGCCAAACTGCAACAAAAAATAGCCGGACATTGTGGTAGGCACCTGTAGTCCCAGCTACTGGGGAGGCTGAGGCAAGGGAATCACCTAAGCCCAAGAGTTTGAGGTTGCTGTGAGCTGTGTGATGCCACAGCACTCTCCTGTGGGCGATAAAGTGAAAACTATGTCTCTACAAAAAAAAAAAAAAGATAGGGTGTGAGGGAGTGGTGGATGAGGAAGGATGAACCACCGAGTTTTAAGTTCCAAAAAACCCATCTTACCTGGAGTAAAGTTAATACCTCAAAACACAGATGATATGCTCCTCCTTGGCCAGGGACCCAAAGGGTCACTACCCCAGAACCTCAACCTAGTCCTATCCTGGCCCTCTCTGCCCATCACAGACACGGGATGTCTAGTCTGGATCTACAAGGCCCTTGTCCCTGGAGTTTCATAAGGAGTCGTGGGCCCATCACCATCTCCCCTGCTCCATCATGAAGGAGTCACACAACAAGTATAAAATCAATGTTTCTTATTATCCCAATGTAACAGACTCCGAACATCAACAGCCATGGCCCACTAGAAGCCAGAAGACAGTTCTTGATACACATAGCTCCCTGGGTGGAGTTTGCAGTGTACAGCAACTGAAGTGACCTTCAATCTCAGGTCATAGGATGGCATGACAGTCACTGAGAAGGATTCCTGAGGTGGCTTCTCCTGAGAAGGGCTGTTGAATCACCATTAGTAGGAGGTAAGTGGTGGGAGGGGGGACAAGCCATTCCATATAGCACCTGGAGAATACTCTTTGAAGATACCCAGGGCCAGATCCTCTACAATGTCTTGATCCAGCTCTCCGTTCTGCCAGTCCCCATTTCTAGGTCCTGGGAGGGTCCAGCGAGAAAAGCAATTTCTACCCAAAGTCCTGACAAGGGTGGAGCAGATAAGCTTGAAAACTCTGTGGCTGAAGCTCCTCTACCACCTGTCCAATCCTTCCTAAGTGGGCAGAAAGCTAACCTGGGTCCTTTCCAATTCTCTGTTCAGGCTCTGGAACTTCCTTGGCTGAACTCCATGCAGCAGGTAGTGGGGAAGGCTGTGCTATAGGACCCTGATCAACCTATTCACCTACTACACAAGAACCTGGCAGGAGCAGCCTCTCCATTCTACCCACTTAGTCATACTTCTGCTGAAGCAGGGACCCCAGATTCTCTGTCCATCTCTTATGGGGACAGGCTTTGAGATGCCAAGACTCCTGGAACACAATGCTGCTTGCACCAACCAGTCCATGGAGCCTGTAGAAATGTAAGCATCCCCCGTCCCAGGCAGCTTGAGACCCAGGATGGTATGACAAGAATGCAGGCCTGTGCCAGATGGGCCATGTGCCTGGTAGGGCTAGAAGAAATGATTCAAGAAATGAGATGCAGGCTGAAGGGTCCTTCCAACATCTGGTGAATTGTTCCTAAGTCTTCACTGTTGACAAACTAGCTTGTTTTACTTACATCTTAGCAAGAAAAACCTGTATTTAAGCGGCCAATTGCAGAGATCTGTGCTAGAGGGGGCAAAAGAGGCTGGCTAGAGCTCAAAGGTGGTGGGTATGTGGAGAATACTTGGCTGTCTCCTTGGGGGGCTGGGCTGGGCTGGGCTGGGCTGGACTGGGCCCCTAGCACTCCTGGCAGTGTGGTAAGGCAGAGCTGGCCACTAGCTCTGGCCTTCGCCCTGGATTCACTCCCATCCTGGCTCAGATCTGTGGTTGGGCTTCACCCAGTGGCTCCTCCCTCAAAAAGCAGCGAGATGGGATCTGCAAGGATAAAACAGGTGGCAGAGGGAGAAGACCAGGCCTTCCTCCATCTTCCTTCCACTCTCCCGTCCCACCTGATGTGGCTTCACAGGAAACTGATGATGGGCTCTGTGAAGTCCTCTGTGATACCCTTCCCCCACCAGCATTCCTTACCTGGAAGGATGTGCTTATCCCCACCACAGAATGCAGATTGTTGCTGTAATAACAGAGGAGAAACTGATCTGCATTCTTAGGGATACTGCTGATGTTGATGTATACCTGGAGGGAGGGTAGACAGGAATGGGGTCAACTCCAGGGCCCTGGGCTCCACCCAGCTCTCAGTGACAAGCTATCCAGAACTCTGTTCCTTCCAGAAGACAGAGGAAGTGTTTAGGCTAGCCCACCTGCTGGAGATGTACCTGGTGCAGGTTGTCACTGACGGAGATCTGGTTGTCCCCAACCCAGACATAGGACACATAGTCATTAATGTGCCGCATCCCCACCTGTGGGAAAGGGGATTGGGCGATCAATATTTGGGAGGATTTGGGATCTGTGGCAAGTCCTTTAGGAAAGGATGGTCTGCTGCAGCTGGCCACCATACTGCATACCCCTTCTCCCCTTTACGCCAGCCTCTAGGTAGGCAAAGACCCTGGGGTAGATGAAGGTGAGTTCTTCAGTGCCTTTACAGCTCCCATAAAGCCCTCAGGAAGGATAAACGAGGGAGCTACTGCTGGTGGGCTCCCCGCCTTGCCAGCCACATCACCTTGTACAATCCAATCCAGTCCCAGGGGCTGCTGGGGAAGTCTGGAGCTGAGAAGTAGCTGACCACCATATCGTTCTCCATGGTCCACAGGCTCTCAGGCATCAGGGTGATCGGTGGAGTATAGACCAATGGCTTCAGCTAGACACAGGGTGGGAAGAGGATTGAGTTCTGGTAGCATCATTCCCTCTTCAGAGCAACTGTTCCTCACTGTGCCCAGCCAACAGAGGGGTAGGGGTTCCACAGAGGGGTGGCCATAGAATTGCACTAGGCTGCTTCAGCTGACCCTGGCTGGGCAGCAGGAAAGAGAAAGGGCCAAAGGCCTATCAGCATGGTGGCTGATCCTGCCAAGGAGATGGGGGCTGAGAGCTAGGTAGGTAACACAGGGTGCCAAACACTGAGAGTGAGGGAGGGAGAACAACGAGGGAGTGGCTGAGAGGTTACAGAAAGAAGCCAGACAACCACTCTAGGCCCCTAAGGTATATCTGAACCAACCCTTGAATCCATTTTCTTTTTCTTTTTTATTTTTTTAGAGACAGAGTCTCACTTTGTCGCTCTAGGTAGAATGCCGTGGTGTCACAGCCCACAGCAACCTCCAACTCCTGGGCTTAGGTGATTCTCTTGCCTCAGCTCCCAAGTGGCTGGGACTACAGGTGCCTGCCATAAAACCTGGCTATTTTTTTGTTGCAGTTTGGCCAGGGCCAGGTTTGAACCTGCCACCCTTGGTAGATGCGGCTGGCACCCTACTCACTGAGCCACAGGTGCTGCCCCTGAATCCATTTTCTGTGGTGAAAACAGCTGTGACAGTGTGGAAAGACAATGGTGTAAGGACAGAGAAACCAGTATGAAAATGTGAAGGCTGAGGGGCCAGCCAGCAGCTTGAAGGAGGTCCACACTGCCTTGGTCATGAGATGGCAAGATACAAGAATGGAGGGAGCTCCCTTTGCAACTTGATCCAGATAAGTTTAGGACAAATAAAAGGAAGTCCTACTTCACACAGTAGGTAATAAGCGTAATGGAACTCATTAGTCTCAAGGGAGAGTACCAAGAGGAAACAGAAACCTATTCACAAAGGGTTTGAACATGTTTTTGACAGACAGAGCCATCAACAGCTCCTAAGAAGAGTTGGGATACCTGACCTGGGAGGAAAGGCAATCATGGACTCCTACAGGTCTTCCCTAGGGGATTGGCTGACATTGGATCCAGGCCTGGAGGGCTGGGGGATGTGGCCCAGTATAGCTGTTCTTCTGCCAAGTGTCAGGCAGCCTGGAAATTTACCTCTAAGTCAAAGGTGCCAGTGACAGGCTTATGGTCACTGATGCTGTACGTCATGTGGCTGACGTATAACTTCAGAGACAGGGAGAAGTGGGGAGCTGGAAGGCTGAGGGTGTGGGGGGCATCCTGGGAATGCCGCTTCAGTCTCCACAGGATGCGGTCGGTCCATGCAGGCTTGCGTTTTTTCTCACTGTGGGTAGGGGAAGAGGAAGAAAGAGGAGAGAAGAAAGGGTTGGCATGAGAGCAGGAATGTACCCCCATGAGCTTGCTGGAGCCCCTAACCTCTGCATCTACATGGCCATAAGGCCCCTGGGCCAAGGCTTGAGGCAGGAGGGTACTGGCCCATCAGACTTAGCCAAGGACCCCCTGCCTAGCCCAGTTTTATGAATCACTGTGACTAGAAACATTTTATTTCAGAGCTTTGCTTCTTTCTTGAACAAAAGCAGCAATACATCAAAGAAGCTGAAGTTTGAATTTTGGAGTCAGACAGCCCTTAGCTTGAATTTGGCTTCCCTGCTTACTAATAAAGCAAGGAGGGAATGCTTACTACATGCCCTTGGTCAGCACTGTTAGCACTCACTCTTTTTTTTTTTTTTTTTTTCCCAGAGACAGTCTCTTTATCCCCCTGGGTAGAGTGCTGTTGCATCACAGTTCACGGCAACCTCCAACTCCTGGGCTTAGGTGATTCTCTTGCCTCAGCCTCCCAAGTAGCTGG